TTTAGGCTTGAAACTGTGGTTGCTACTGAGAGAAGGAGAAAAAAATCTCTTTCTGAAGCATCTGGTGCTTGCAGGGAAGCAGCAACCAAAGAGAGGATGAAAATAGCAGCTCATGCTGCTGCAAAATGATGTGGAAGGAGAGGAAGATGTAGCAAAAAGGAATGGGAAAAGGAGTAGGTAAAAATTAAATGGGGAAGGGAGTTTTGAGAGATTTTTGGAGACTGGCAGGAGGACCTCCATCCTACACCAGTAGGGTTGGGAATGGCCATTTCTCCAGTTGAATGTGGGCAAGGTTCAATAGGCTGAACACAGGCATCCAATTCCATCTGATGTACCCCAGGGCACCCATCACCCTGTTTTCCACATCAACTCTGGCTCCTGCTGCTGGAAAAATATTTACATGGAGAGTGAGGGATCAAAACAGTGAGATCTGAGCGAGTTATGAGCCAGGAGAAGGAAGGTTTAATCACTGTAATGTGGGAGTTGCACAGCTCATTTTCAGGTTGATTGAACCCATTTGTCAAGGAGGTTTGAATTTGCAAATTATTTCAGGCCCTGAAACAAGGATTTTTTATTTAATAATCAAAACCATGTTGCTTTGTCATTTCTAAATTAAAGACTACTAACTAAACAACATCAAGGGACCAAATCCTGCATGAAATTCCACTTGAAATTAGCAGCATCCACTAAAACCCGTATGTGTTTTGACCTAAAGCAAATGTTTCCCTGACTTTGGAATGATTCAAGATTGGACATGGTTTCACTTGACAACAAACCAAACAGATTTTCCCTGGGGCTAAAGTGCAACTAGTTCTCAGTTTACTTTTTTCCCTATTTTTTCCCCTTCATTTCTCACTTCTGAGCCAGACAGCAAAGGGCTAATTATGTATTCACCCTGCAGAGCTGTGCAAGAATCATAGAATCATCATAGAATATAGTTGTCATAGAATCATGGAATCATCAAGGCTGGAAGAGACCTTTAAAATCATCAAGTCCAACCACCCACCAGCACTGCCACTGCACCCCCTAAACCTTATCACCCAGCACCAGATACAGACACCTCTTGAACACCTCCAGGGATGGTGACTCCACCCCCTCCCTGGGCAACTATTCCAGCACCTTTTAGTGGAGTTGGGCTGAGGTTGCCAAAGAGAAGGAAAACTCCGAAAAGAGAGTGTCTAACATCCCTCCAGAGATGGATAAAGGGGATAAGAGATCCAGAGGAAAACACATGGGTGGGTTTTACAGATGCTCATTTTTCATTCCTCTCTGCCCCTCTGAAAAAATGCCAGGAGTGGTGATTCCACTTTTTGGGGGAGCTGGCTGAGGTTGCCAAAGTGTAGGAAAACACCTTCCAGAGATGGATAATAGGGAAAAGAGATCAAAAGCAAACCACAGTTGGGTGGATTTTACAGATGCTCATTTTTAATTCCTCTTTGCCCCTCAGGCCTTGTCTCCTCTGACAAGGAGAGTGCATCCTACGTGCTGAGGAAGCCTGAGGGTGGCAACTTGCTGGCCATCATCGTTGGTGGGGCACAGGAGGCACTGGATGCCCATCCAGGATCCTATACTTTGCTGCTGAAGAACAGGAAGGGATTCGTGCGTGTGGCCATCCAGCATGGGTGATGCAGGGCATGGGGTCCAGGGGAGCTTGGGGTGGAATGTGGCTGGTTAAGGAGGTATTTCTATTTGGGAAAGGAAGGTATTTTGGGATGGGCTTTGCTGATCTTCATACCCCCATGTTGGGTTTGACTCCCTGCAGCACCCCATTGATCCCTGCCTTTTCCTTTGGAGAGAATGACCTCTTTGATCAGGTGAGGAACCCGAAGGGCTCCTGCCTGAGGTGGATCCAGCACCGGCTCCAGCAGATCATGGGCATCTCCCTTCCCCTCTTCCATGCACGGGGCATCTTCCAGTACAGCTTCGGACTCGTACCCTACCGGCGGCCCATCTGCACCGTGGGTGAGTCAATCCACAGAAATCTGGCATGATGCTGGTCACCCTCAGACTGGCCAAACTGGGGACCAGGGACAGTCCCTGTTATGTCATCCTGTCCAGGATGCATCCTGAAACATCTTAAGCCATGGCTGGCATGGCTGAAGCATCATGTCAGAGGGCATGAGCAGTGGTGGGCTAGAAATGTGTTGGCAAACTAGCATCCCCAACTGCTCATGTGTCACACCGGTTTGGCACTCTGGCTTGATCTTATGACAGATTCCAGGTCATCTGGGCAGTGCTGGGAAAGCCCCAGAGCAAATATGGCCACCCCATCACCCCTGTGAGGTGCAGAAAACCCCAACACCAGTGCAAGCTGGTGACACAAGCCACTGCAATAGCCCTGGGTTAAATGTCTTCCAAACCAGTTTTACAAACACGAGTATGATCAGCAAGTTAAGGGAGGGGATTCTGCCCCTCTGCTCTGCTCGGGTGGACCTATCTGCAGTGCTGCCTCCAGCTCTGGAGCACCACAGCAGAAGGATGTGAAGCTGCTGGAGCAAGTCCAGAGGAGGGCACGGAGATGCTCTGAGGGTACGTCTGCTCTGGAGCCAGGCTGGGAGACAGGGGAGTGTTCAGCCTGGAGAAGAGAAGGCGCCAGGGAGACCTTAGAGCTCCATCCAGTGCCTGAAGGGACTCTGAGAGAGCTGGAGAGGGACTTTGGACAACAGTCTGGAGTGGTATGAAGGTGGATTTAGATTAGATATTAGGAGAAAATTGTTCACTGTGAGGGTGGTGAGGCATTGACACAAGTGGCTCAGAGAAGCTGTGGCTACCCCATCCCTGGAATTGTTCAAGGCCAGGTTGGATGGGGCTTGGAGCAACCTTAGCAGAGGGTTGGAATGAGATCATCTTTAACGTCCTTCCAACCCAAACCAGTCTGTAGTTCTGTGAACACCTAAGCAGTTTGCAGGTTTGCCTAGTGTCCTGTGCAGACACATCTGCAAACTCAAACCTCCTTGCATGTGAACAAGAGGAGCCATTTTGACCAAAAACCATGCCCATGGGAGACCAAATTTTCAGATAATCTTTGGTTTTGAAAAAGTTTTGCCTGGTTTCAACAACTCCATGCTTGACCCACAACGTGGCTGATGCTCTGTGAATTAATCTAATTAAAGACACTATTTGGATAGATCAGAGCTCATCCACTGATTAAGTTTGACAATCAACAATTACTTCTAATTGTATTACAACCTGTTTGGATTGTCTCAATGGTTTTATGAGCTGTGTAGTATCACAAGGGCTCTTCATTAGCTGGATGAGGAATAGTGTTTCAGAATGTTGAAACACTTGACAAACTTGACAAACACAGTGTCAGGTACTTCATGGACTGCCTTGTCCCCTGCAGGCACCTAGTCCTGCTCCTGGTGGCTCTGGGAAACAGGAAGGTCCCTCTTCTACTGCTAGGAATCAAAATAAATAGATTTTTCCTTGAATAAAATGTGATTTTCTAAAGATAAGTGGGTACTTGGTTCCTAATAAAAATCTTTCACAGAAGCTTTAATCTGAGCAAAGTGGAAACTCCTCAATTGCAACTGTATTTACATAGCCTTGGGCTCCCCTGTGCCTCACTTTCCCTGTTTGCAATGCAGTTTCCCAAGGCCATGTGGGAACAGCTTGGAAAGCCCAACCCAAATATTATCTTGTCTTTATCTGCAGCATATCAGAGATGTGAGAAGCAGCTCTAGGGCCTGCACTGGGATACAACACTTATTACTTCACAAAACTACCCAAAGGGTCTTTGGGATTAACCAGCTCTGCAGACAGGGAAACTGAGGCAAGGATAGGTGTGAATTTGGAGACCAGCAGCTTGACCAGTGATCTCCTCACCTCCTTGGCTGTGCTACCTCTCAAACTGCAGGACATGACTGGTCTTATCTGTCCACCATATCCTTGGGGAAGTAGACCCCAGCTCTGTGCTAGGATGTGCAGATTGTTAGAGGGAACAGCCACTGACTCCTCCTAATGCCTATGCTTCTTTTCCAGTTGGAAAGCCAATTCCAGTGCAGAAGAAGTTCAAACCCTCTGATGAAGAAGTTGACGAAGTCCACCAGAAATACCTCAATGCATTGTCCAAGCTCTTTGAGGAGCACAAAGCTAATTATAACATCCCAGAAGATGCACACCTGGAATTTATATAGCAAGGTGAAACGATGGAGATCAAGCTCCAAGACTTCCCTTTCTCTGGAACTACTTCACAGCCTCATCATAGTCACAGTTAACATATGGTTTGTACAGTTTAGAGAGGAGGACTTGATTTTCCCAGCATGGGTACAGAGCCAGAGCTTTCATTTTTTTCTCCATGTAGGACATATAAAAGACATAAAGAAGAAGAAAATCCCATCTGTGGCCATCACTATTAAACCTCCCCAGCACAAACCTCACACTTTCAGTCTGGCTTGGATGAGTTTTTCCAGATATTTCCAGGCAGATCTGAATTACTGAATGTTCCCTTTGCACTATTTTAATTCCAAAATGGGAGAATGAACCATAATTTCTGCTGAATGCATATTTGTTTTTAAAGATAATTCATCTAAATCAACAAATGACTATGGTTTGCTTGGTGCTTTTCATGTCTTTGATTGCTCTGGGCTCTTTCCTCATCAACTGAAGCACCAAGAAGCTCATGTTCCCTGCACAGTTCAGGCTCCCTCAGCGGTACCACAGCACCACAGCCCACTGGGGCAAAAGGAGTAAATTCAATTAGAAATAAGGACTAGAACTATAAAGCATTTCTAAGTATTTTAGAAATATAAATTAGAATTAAAATTATAAAGGGCTCATCCAGAGGGTTCATCCTACCTGGGCTGCAGGAGTCCTGCTTCCAGCTTTATTAATTGAATCCCAGACATCTCTGCATGGGAACACCTTGGACTAGTCACAAGCTATAGCGTTTTGTTTTACAGATTAGACCATTTCCTAAGATTGAGGAGCAGAGCTAGGAGATGAGGGAAGGGATTTGGGACAGGAAATATCCCTTGGGACTTGGGAAAGATGCATTTGATGGGTGATCAAGGCTTTAAATAGCTGCTTCTTCTTAATATCCAGAACTTTGTTAAACTCCACTTAATGGGATTCTGCAGAGTTCCAGGTGGCAGCTAGATAGCTGCTCAGGTCATAGTTTAATAGTTTTATAGTACGTTGAGGGGTTGGAATGGACATTAAAGATCATCCAGCCCCAACCCTCTGCCCTGGGCAGGGACACCTCCCACCAGAGCAGGTTGCTCAAGGCTTTTTCCAACCTGGCTTTGAACGTTAAACTCCACTTAATGGGATTCTGCAGAGTTCCAGGTGGCAGCTAGATAGCTGCTCAGGTCATAGTTTAATAGTTTTATAGTACGTTGAGGGGTTGGAATGGACATTAAAGATCATCCAGCCCCAACCCTCTGCCCTGGGCAGGGACACCTCCCACCAGAGCAGGTTGCTCAAGGCTTTTTCCAACCTGGCTTTGAACACCTCCCAGCCTCTGCCCCTCTGCCAGTGTCTCACCACCCTTACAGGAAAAAACTTCTTCCTAATATCTGATCTAAATATTCCCTCTTGCAATTTATCCCCATTACCATCAGCTTTGCACCACCCCTAGAGAGCCCTGATACATTCACCTTCTCTCTCCATTTCTCTTTCTCTTCCCCACATCCCATTCCTCACCTGTGAGGAGCCACCAAACCACTCCTGTAATCCCACACTTAACCCAGTCAAATAAAGCAGGTCACCAGCTATAATTTCTTGTTTGCTTTCTATTAATATACTTTTGCTTTTCTCCTTAAATAAGTACAGAGGTGCCTAAGCAGGAGGAAGATTTATTCGCTGGGAAAATAGAGATATTTCTCTCCCATCCTTTTCTTTTTGGTGTTCAAAACCATTCAAGCTTCACCATAGCCCCTATCCTTTCTTCTGCCTTCCCTGATACTGGTGATCAACCCACAGATCCCAGAAATGTCACTATGACCTTCTGCAAACATCCTGATGGGGATCAGAGCCAGAGGGGAGCAATGGGGATGTTCTTAGGGACACAGCACTGAGTGCTGTGGGGATGGAGGAGGTCTCCAGAGGTGAGGATAAGGAGCTGCAATCTCAATGCAATGGAAGGAGTGAAGATGCTGCTGTTGGGGTGGAAATCAGCAGTGCATGAGGGATTTGGGGAGATGCCAAATGGGTGGTTGGCTGTGCTGATATTATTGGGGTGTAGGAAATGGGGAGGGAGCAGGATGGAGCATGGACAAGGATGGCAGGTGTTGGTACAGACTTGAGGAGTTGAGTCTGTAGGGATGACATGTCTCTGCTCCTACCCAATGGAGAAGCCATGTTAGAAGGTGTACTTCCAATTGTTCATAGAGTCCTTGGTCTTCTCCTTTGAGGACCTCTGCTGACAGACAGGTGGAGTGGTCCATCAACTTCCTGATTGGTGATGCCATCCTGAAAGAGGCAAAAGGCAGAAAATGGGTGTTCAGGAAAACATCCCAAGGAGGAATGGGGAGCTGGAGCTCTCTGAAGGCTGATGGGGTGGTCAGGGCTGATGGGGTGGTCAGGAACATGCAAGGCCTGAAGGTAAAGGAAGACCACAGTTCTAGAGAAAAGAGGTCAAAGAAGGGTGTTTGGTCTATGTAATTGGCTTCCCTCAAGGTCAGTTTTATCTCACAGACTGGAAAATGCCTTTGATCCCTCAGGGACATATATAACTCAGAGGAGAGAGGTCAGTGCCTGGGCTTGTGGTAAGTACAACATTAAGAGTAATAATTCATAGGTGTCCTTGCAGCAGAAACTCCAAGGGCTCAGTGCAATGAGAGGTCTCATCTCACAGGAGGTCAGAGCTGTCTCTGAATGAAACACTGTAAATCCAGAAGCTTTTGTGCTATTTCAGCCTCACGCAGAGCTGTCTGGAGGATTAAAACTTCTCCAAAGCTACACAAGGCAGGAGAAGTCTTAAGAAAGGAGAAGTGCCCAGATCAGCAATTCAAACCAAACAGCATTTGGGTTTGAACTCTGCAGATTGGAACTGGCTCAACTGGAGGCACAAAAGATACATGTGGGAGATCTCCAAGCTGTCCCCTCAAAATAGAGAACATTTAAAGATAAAACAACTTATGTTTCCTTACAGCATGTCCTCTCCCTACTTTTGTGGCTGGGTTGAATTTGAGGAACAAGCCCAAGGAGAAGAGATAAAATCAATTGCCTCTCTTGTAGAATATTCAGAGTTCATCTTTTTTTTTTTTTTTAAATTCCAAATTGGAAAATAGTGTAAGAAATATAAGTGTGGTGTTGTGGTATTCCCTTCCGCCTGGCTCTTCCTCCCACCTCTTCCCTCTTGATCTCTCCTGTATTTCTGTTGTGAGAGGCTCTAATCTGGATTTGCCTTACTTAGCAGGTTCAGATCATGAGGCTCAGAAGAAAACCTCTGACGACTGATGACTACAAAATATGGACTAATTCTCCAAGAGGAGGAAATACAAGCAAAAAATGTTTTTTATGCCCTTCTGTAGCTCTAGTCCTGCAATGCTGTTTTACTGCCCTGGGAATTGGGTTAAATATTGCAGTGAACAACTAGAAAAATATGTGGGCTTCTGCTCAGAGAAACATTTGTTGCTTTTAGTTCAATAAAGTCCCCAAATGTGACGTGTTAAACACCCCTCCCTCATACCACAGAGCCTTTGTCTTTTCAAGAAAGGAAATCAAATTGCAAATGCATCACTTTGCATTAAAAAAACCACTAAAAACATAAAAAACCACAGATCTGCCCACAAATATGGACAATTTTGAGGGGTAATCTGTTATTTCTGTCTGATTTGTGCCCAATGAGCTGCTTTTCTGCATCTCCCATCACCTGAACACCTCCTGACACAGCTTTTCTCGGGGGCTGCAATGACCAATGTGACACATGAGGCAGGAGGGTATATACTGGATTTAAGGGAATCCTGGGTATGACTGATTCATTTTACAAGTTTGTGCCTGGTTTTCCTCCTACATTTCCCATTCCCATCCCACTTGGAGATGTTAAGCCATTAACTTTGGGTTAGCAGCCTACTAAGCCACCACATCTCTGGATTCTCATGTGCTTTCAGGCAGGATGTGACCTTCAGAATACAGAATGCACTTACCAGGAGGGAAAACATAAGGAAAATCAGGTAGTCCTGAGGCAGAATTTTGGATAATACAAACACAAAATAATTCCTGTGAGCTAAAGGGATTCATTTAGATGATATTAGATTATTAGATGAGATAAAGGCAACAAAATATAGCCCAAACACAATGGTTTCAATGAGCAACTCTGAAAATGACAGAGAAAACAATATGGCAAAGATTGGAAATCACTTGGGTTTGTGAAATGCACATAAGATCACCCATTCACAAAAAGTTGTGCATGGACAGAAGAAAGATAATAGAAATACAAAAAATTCATGCCTAATTCTTAGTGAAAAAAGTCTTCTGAATGCCTAAAATTGAAGGGAAACACATGCCAGCAAGCAGTGCTTCTGCCTTCACCACCCTCAGCTCATCACAGACAAATGCTCCATGGCCAGGGGTGTGTGTGGATGCTGAGGAATTCACCTCCATATCACAGAGTCCTTTGACCTGTGAGAGCAGAGCTGCACTGCCAAGAGTACATAAACACGGCGATAAGATTCCTCCTGAGGGGACACGGCGAGGTCAGGATGGTCAGTGCTGTTTACCAAGTGCTTAGCTTCTGCCTTCTGAGCTGCTGCGTGGCAGGATGTCCTAGGGAGCTCAGCACCTCATTTTCCTCCTCAGCAGCCCCAAAATCTCGGCATCAGGACATGCTCCCTTGCAGGAGTCACAGTGTGTGTCCTAGGGGAGGGACAGGTTTTTCCATGCAGTGTTTTGTATCAGTCCCATGACACTACCTCCCGATCCCACAGTGTGCCTTGCTTCCAGGAACTGCCAAGGAGTTTACAAGTAAATACAATCCATAATCCCTGGAGAGGTGGAGCAGGAGTACCTTTAACTCCTCTGTTAATGC